AGCTCTTTGTCCGATCGCACCGCTCATCATATAGGGAACTTCCGTGTCTTCATTGTGAAATTGTCCTACAAATATGCCTTCTGGTTGACCATCGTAAGCAGGCTCGGACTCAAATACAATCACCAGTGATCGGTTACTTGGTATCCTCTGTCGTCATCGTGGTGCAGGTGGTTCTTCATCTCGGGGTCGCCTTCGTGAACTAGTTAGTTGAGATAATCTCACTGGCATAGTATCTATCTCTTGGCTATCCATATCGGAAGACCAAACTATGGCTATTGAAAAAATTCTATTTTATCTTGGAGAAAATAACTACATCAACTACGAATTTTGGTGGTGCTCTCCCCCTTTCTTATATTCTTAGGTGAACAAGCTTCAGAAAGAAGCTATTGTCAAACCGGCTTAGGTTTATGAGGATGTTGTTGATGAAACTCCTGTACCTTTTGCGGCGCATTGGTGAGATTTTCAGCTGGCTCCCACGTTCGCTCATTAATGTCGTAGCCGCACCAATGAACAAGATACTCTAACTTGCCCCACCTTCGTCGAGAATCCAGCACCTTTTCAACCTTGTATTCCTCGTGGTTCTCGATCTCAATACTAGGTGGTGGACATTGCACTCTTTCAGGAAAAGATGACTCTCGATAAGGCTCCAACAAAGAAACATGAAAGACTGGATGTACCTTCATAGAAATTGGTAATTCCAGACGGTACGCCACTGGAATGATTTGCTTTTGGATGATAAATGGTCCCAATCTTCTATAGTCTAACTTATCACATGGTTGCTTGGTCTTGATATTCCGTCCAAGAAGCCATGCTTTATCTCCAATTTTGAAAGTAGGTGCTTGATTCTGAAATCTATCTGCACACGCCTTGTAGGATTCTTGAGCGGATTATAATTGAAGCTTCAACGTATTTTGAAGCTTTGACAGTTGTTTCGCAAATCCTTCAGCTGCTGGATTGTTATTTGTTGATGGACTCAATAAATCAAGCTTTGGATGATACCCATAGTTGGAAAAGAATGGTGTGTATTGAGTCGACGCATGGAGGGTGTTGTTAT